GTCAGGCAGGGAACCCCAGAGCTGACTCCAGGCCCATGCTCCTAACCACGAGGCCAGACTGCTCCCCGATCCACCAGCAGACTGTGCACAACATTGAGGAAACCCGGGGTTCTGCACAGCCACATCCCCCACTACTAGCCCAGGCTGCCCTGGGTGTCCCACACCCAACATGGGGCTCACCTGGAATTGCTGGAAAGGGTAGCGATGAAGGTTCGGCTGAAGGCATGAACAGAGAATGGAGGTCTTCCTACCACTTCAACGACAAACAACAAACAATAACACCCCCTTGGGGTTCACACACTCAACAGCAACCCCTAATCAGAGTCTCCCTGGCTACCCAGGCTGAAGCGGGGGACAAGTGTCCTCTGGGAGTCAGGGTGTTGGGAACGGGCAGGGCAACAACAGGCGCCACCTGCTCCCAGGGACACGGCCCTGCTGGGGTCCTGGGACAACCGGCCCACGGGCTCAACCACTTGCGTTCCGCAGCTGACCGAGACTGGGGTGTCAGCAGCCCCATTTTGAAAGTGAGGCAACTGAGAGGTTCAGCAGGGGCTCCAAGTTCCCAGAGGAAGCATCTGGGGTGAGAGCCATGGAACCCTGCAGCCTGTGTCCCTCCCTCGCCCCTCAGCCGTGTGGGTGTGGGGCAGACAGGCGGTGGGGGACAGGGCAGGCCAGGATGGATTGGGGGGGGTGGGTACTGAAGAACACAGGAAATAATGGGGAAGCAGGGAAAGGGATCTGGGAAGCTGGCAGAATTCGGAGGGAGCCCAGACAGGGGTAGGCATACATGGAGAGCTGGGCGATGGGTATAAATTTACACACACTCACATTCCTTGAACACCCCGTGGACCGAGAAGCCGATCTTAGTTTCCTGAAAGGGAAGCGCCCAGGTGCTCAGTCACCACCGAAGCCTCCCACCCACCTGTGGCTTTCTCGGTCTGCCCCAGGGAAGAAGCGGGCACTCACCTTCTCCATCCACATATCAACCTGGAAGGAGCTGAGGTCATGCTGAGTTCGGGGCAACAGGCATAAGGTCTTTATAATATCGCGTTTTGTATATTTCACAAGCTCACACCGCAGGTCTGAGGGGAGGAGATATAAGCAAAGGTCAGGGACTGTCACACCCAGGGCCCCATGATTGACCCCTCCATGCCTTCTCCCTGTCCATTTTTTCCATCACACACTTACACTGGTCCTTCATCTTCATGTCTCTGCTGTCTCTGAAGCTGATTCTAGGAAAAAGAAAAAAGGAGGCGACGGTTGGGTCAGTTGGTATTTCTGGCAGCTGGCCCGTTTGCTGGGGAGTCCCGGCAGCAGGATGAGCATCTGGGCCGTGATACTCACGGGGCTGCATCCTGTGGGATGAAGGGAATGGAGAAGCAGAAGCATGCCTCCTCATGATAAACACTCAGAAGGCTCTGTCTGTCCCCATAGTCATAGATCCAGTAATACCTGTGGGGAGGCAAAGGGCAAAGGGGATTTCTGTGACTGGACCCCAAATGAGATGAGACCTGGTGAGCCATCCTGAGCCTTAGTGACCCCATCTCTCCAGGCCCTCCCTTTCCGCGTGGCCCCAGGAGTACTTACTTCTGCAGGAAGTGCAGCACTAGATTCTTCAGGGTCTCAGATCCTTCACAGCTTTCCTGAAATCAAGAGACAGTCAAGGCTAGGGGGTTCACAGGGTGTCCATTGCAGTACCCCCAATACTGCTTGCTTCTTTTCCCTCACCTTGCAGAACTTGATTAAGTTGCGGGCATCAGTGCCAACAGCACCCGGTGATGGTAACTCCTTGCCATCCTGGGGAAGGGAAGAGGAAGTCAGCACTGGAGACCAGGAAGGTGGCCCTGGATAATGAGGGGAAGGGATGGGACCAGGAGGGGGTGAGAGTCAAAGGTCAGGGGTGAAAGGATCCCCAAAATTGTCTACTAATGGGGCCTCTTTGGTGGCCTAGGGGTTAAGTCTCAGGGCTATCACCACTGTGGCCTGAGTTCAATCCCAAGCCATGGAGACACACATGGCGCAGCAGACCTCTCCTGTCCCACATGCTGCTCCCCTCAGCAGTTCATTTCAGTAGATACACCTGTTCTGCTCCCCACTCTGTCTCTGGTGAATCCTCTTAACACCCCACACCTCTGGCCTGTACCCCAGTTCTTCTATGCATAAATAAATCTTTTTAAAAAATATCTACTACCAAATGCAAATTGTGTGTGTGTGTGTGTGTGTGTGTGTGTGTGTGTGTCTGTGCGTTATACATTTTGCAGAGAGTACGTTCAAGTTCTTTTTCTGGAGTCCATGTCTCTAAAAGGGTAAGGGTCCGATGAGCAAGTCATCCAGGCAAGACCGCCAAGGAGGTGAGGGCAGGGTGGAGATCGTCAGCACGGAAAGAGAGGGCGATGAGCACAGGCACTTACCAGGCGTAACAGCGTGGGGAAAAAGGCCCGGACGGAACTGTGCAAACAAAACGGAAAGGAGTGGCTGACAGTTCAGGGTTGTCAAGCCCCTGCTCCCCCGCCCCTTCCATAGTAGCTCCTGGCTAGACTCCCCGCCCCCCACTCCCTCTCCACCGCCACAAGACACAGCATCTGGAGCCCAGGCCCCAGGACTCTGCCCTCCTCTCTGCCTCCCTGGCTGCCTCTGTGTCCCCCCTGAGGGCTCCAGAGAGAAGAGGGCAGGGGGTGGGAGCCCAGAGCACTGCTGCTTCATTCGGGGGGCCCAGCACTGTCCCAGGACCAGGACCCCCCAGGGATGGCCTGGATGCTGGGCAGGAGGTGAGTGAGGTGGAACTTGGCAGGCAGGATGGAAAGGGGGCACATGAAGACTGAAAGGGGGTGAAGGCAGGACAGGAGACAGGAGAGTCCCAGAGGCGCAGCTCACAGGAGAGACAAGGCAAAGGAAGGGGGCAGGAAGCAGAGGGAAGGAAGGGGAATTGGCTCCCCCGCTGCAGGCCTTCCCTTCACCTGCCCCTGGCTGGCCCTGAGGCCCCACGTGGGCGTGGGAAGCATGCACCTGTGGGGCTGGGGCCCTCTGGGTACCAGCTGAGCCTTCCTCACTCCTGCAGCCCAGTCTGAACTGGGCATGAACAATGGGGCAACCATGGGCGCTGGACACCCTCCCCAGAGGAGTGAAGGGCCATGCCCAGCTCTACTTGGGGAGGAGGGTCTGCGGGCCCCTGATGTCACCGCCTTCTCTCTGGTGGTCTTGTCTACCTATCTTCCTTGCTTCTTTATATGACTAAAGTCCTCGTGTCAAGCTGGGATTAAAGGGGAACCCCTTGGAGCTAGGAAAAAAGGCACCCCCAGAATAGGGAGGGCAGCCTGGTCCCAGCACGGGGCAGGAAGGCCCATCTCAGCACCAGCCCGGCTGGACGTCCCTTCTCGTCCAGGGCACCACATCGGCCTCAGGCTGGTGACTGGTGGTCCCAGCGGGGAGGGAAGCCCTGCTTCCTGGGGCGCACACTTGGCAGGGCACGCGAGAGAGGCTGGAGGCAGACTCAGGACCAGACCCCAGAGTGGGAGGACAAGGGAAGAGTTCAGAGGAAGGAGAGACCTCTGAGCACAGATGAGGGACACGGAGGGAGAGAGGCAAGACGGGCCCGTGGTTCTCCTGAAATCCAGGTGATGAGGGCTTCCCACTGACCTCACATAGTAGGAGTAGCGTATGAACTTGTCACACAAAGGGTTCCCATGCAGCCAAAGTTCTTCTAGCCTTAGCCCTTTCATTTTACACACCTCCCATGTTGACTTTAGCTGAGAAATATGGCGGGGGGAGGACGGAATTGGAAAATGAGTTGTAAGAGAGTCATCTATGCATGACCCCAGTTTCCCTCACAGCCATGTGGCTGCCTTCTGTCATCACTGTGAAGGCACTATACACCCCCAAATCAAACTTTGATCTGATTCCCTGTTCTCACCTCATTTTTGGAGAGGTTCAGGATCTTGACTTTGGGGGCCATCTGCACAATGTCACTCAGGCCATCCAGCCGGTACAGTTTGTTGTCACTTAAGTTCAGGGACAAGAGCTTGTGGCAAAGAAGAGTTAGAGTTTCAGTTCCTAGTATCTGGGGCCTGGGGGATCATTCTACCCTCCCACGCCCCCCCTCCCCCCATCTGTTCTGCCTCCTACCATAGTGCACTGGGCATGAGGTCTCACCTGGGGGAAATTCTTTTTGATAAGCTTCATGGCGGAAAACATGCAGCTTCTTCGATTCAGGATTATATTAACTTCATGGCCCACCAAGTCTTCAGAAAGTGGGCAGGAAAGAATGAAATGGCTAATTGGGATCCAGAGCCTGCTGCTATACCCCCTCCCAAGTTACCGTCCATGTGTGTCCCTTCCAGGCAGTCCCCCTGTGCCCTCACCTACCCTAGAATGATGCTGTCAGTCATACCTGGGTCAAAGCGGAGCTTCTGGAGGTCAAGAGCTTTCTGGGAAGCATCATATCGCTTCTTCATGGTCAACTGCAGGGAGAGGTGGAGAGATTCATTTTGAGGTGCCGTTCTGACAGCAAATCTAGGCAGGGGTAGAAGAGGTGGGTCTGGCTGTGGGTGTGTGTGGCACACAACATGCATTAAGTCCGCACTACCTCTAGCTTCTCCAGTTCTTCTGGTCCCAGCATATTCCACTCAGAGTAGGGTTCAGTAGATTTCTGGACAAGGATACATATCTGGGGGAAAGACAGGACAGGTAAGCACCAGGATCTCTAATTCCGAAAGAACAACTGGCCGCTGGCCTGTCCTCTCCTAGCACTTTGTACAGGTAACGCCTTGACACATACCTCTTTGTTCTTCTCATCATAAAGCTTATTATCGACATCCATCAATGCAGAGGCAACTTTGGCATCCTGGATGAAGAACCGAGCCCGGTTTTTCACATAGTGGAACTGCAGGGCGCAGGGTGCAACAATCATTTTGGAGGCAGAGATTTCCTTCTCAGCCTACTCCCCACCTCGCCCCACCCCCCTTCCCTGACCCCACCCATGTGCCTTCACCACCCTCTCTTACATCCACTGGAATGAAGTGTATATTGCAATGGCTCCGGAGTAAATTTATTAGCCAGGTCTTATCATACTTTATCCCCTCAGGAATCTGAAGGTGAAAAGGGATTGAAAGAGAGAGGAGATACAACATGGAATGAAGGCTGGAGAACATAACCATCACAGGTTCTTTTCTGACCTGTTGCTGAGCTGTAAAGGGATTCTAAAGATCGGCCCACTGGCCTGATTTCTTATTTCTGCACCAAATAAGGATTTCTTACACCCCCTTTCTCTCCATTCAAAGATCTCCCCAAACAATTAATTGTATTAGCTTCCTTTTACAAAGTTACACATGATCACAGCTAGCAAGAGCCTTCTTGCATTTCAAAGACTGTCTCAGACACTCGACCTGACCCGCATCCGCCACACTCAGCTAGAGGTAAACTGAGGCATCCAGTGTGCAGCTGCTCCATCTCCTGGAAGTGGTTTCCAGCTTTGCCTTGAGATGATCTCCCCCACTCTCCCTACAGTCAGCTCTTCCTTTTATGTTGCTTCTCTGAATCTCCCCTGAGCTAAGACTATTAACTCCTTGTAATCTAAAGAAGAGTTTATAAGCTGACCCAGCAGAGTAGCTAGCGTTTCTGTAGTAGACCTACACAGCTGTACCTGAACGTTTTCTCCTGCACATAAGACACATTTTCCAGAACACTCACTGTGATCTTGAACCAGTTCACTGGGGTAACATCTTGTGGATTGTCTTCCATTTTTCTCCCTTGAAGTTTTTTATCTCTCCACATATTAATATGGATACTGTCCTCATCATGCCATTTCACTGACCTCTGTTTTTGTTGGATGTTATCGGGAGTGCTGTGGGGGGAGTGGAGAGAAAGAGGGTGGGCGTGAAGACTAAGAATGTCTGCTACACACCCTTGCCCCTCTGACACCAGGACTACCATTGGGATTGGTCATTCTTTTTTTTAATATTTTATTTTATTTTATATATTTTTACATCATTTTTCATTTTTGCACAATGTATGCATTTTCATCTTGGTTATGTTCCCCATACAATTCCCACCCCCCCTTATTTTGACCCTAATCCCTCCCCCCCCCATAGTGTATCTCTGGTTTACAGTTGCTTGTTGATTTTGATTTTTACTTTATTATAATTTCTTAATTCACCTCTCGCTTCCTACAGTCTTCGAGTGAGAGAAGAACAAGAAGACCATGAGAGTAAGGAGTTGCATAGTCCCAGGAGCTGCTACAGGTAAAAGAGGCTACCTGGCCACTTACTGTTTTACTTCTGGGTCTTCCTGGCCATTTTTCATCTCTGCATTTCCATTTTTCTCTTGGAAGATTGAAGACTGAGCACCATATTCACTGTGTTCTTCAGAAGTGTCGCTCCTATCCCAACTATCTCCCAAAGAACTGCAACTTTTCTTTTTTTCTTGAAGTGAGCTACCACTAGCATTGTGTTCTGAAAGGAGGCACAAAAAAGTTAGTTTGAAGACACATCAGTGATTCACTAACCATGAACCATGCCTAAAGATAACACTGACTGTAGAAGGTCAAGTAAAGTGTCAACCTGCCCGAAGGGACTGATCACACAAAGCTCTGAAAGAAATGTCATCTTCCTGTTAAGACAGAAGAGGCTTATCTGACAAATGACACTCTCAGGGGAGAAAGTTTGAGGGAAGAGTAATTATACTTAATGAGGAGAAAGATGAAGAAACTGTATTGAAAATCTTTAAAATAGGAAATAGTGTTTTATAGAGAAAAGAGGTGTATGACTGTTAGATCAAGAGGGCATTTGAATCTTCAGTTCTCTCAGGTCTCTCTAGTAGCCATAGCTGTTGATACCTCAGAGGCAATCTCTCTAGGCTTTCCATATACAATCAGCAACTAAACTGATTTCACTAACTCAATAAAATAAAGGTAATACATTACAATCAAACAGCCAATATAATACTGAACTGTGTAAAACTGAAATTTTTTTCTACTTAAGAAGAAGAGCAAATCTGGGACGCCCACTGTCACCACTATGATCTAACTTACATTGGAAGTTTTGGCCAGTGTTATTAAACAAAAGCAGGAAATCTGTGTCAGAAGTGCAGAAATGCAAATATTTCTCTTTGCGGATGACATGGTTTTATATTTAGAAAATCTTACCATGACCAAAATCTTACTAACAACTATAGATGAATAACAAACAGGTAGGTTACTCAATCAATACACAACAAAACACCAATTCACATAAAATCAACAATTGAGAAGAAAAAGAAATAAAGAAACTAACACTATTTATAATTGCCTCAAAAGAGAATAAAATACCTAGAAATTAAACTAAGGAAGTGAAGGACCATTACAATGAAAATACAAGATGTTGTTGAAAGACTTAGATAGTGACATAAGGAGGAAGGACATCTCTTACAAATGGATGAGAAGAATCAATAAAATCAAAAAGAATATCCTGTTTAAAGAAATATGAAATTGAATGCAATCTTAATCAAAATATCAACATTTTCAAAGAAACTGAAAAATATGGAATATGGATATTTATATGAAACAACATGAGGCTTCAAACAGCAAAAGCAATCCTGAGGGAGGAAAAAAGAAATGCAGATATAATGTCAACTGACCTCAAACCTTACAATGAACAAAATATTAAACATAATATGCTATTGGCACCAAATATATTCATGGATCAGTGAAACAGAATCAAAAGTCCAGATACATATCAGTTCCTGCTCTGTGATAAAGCTGCCAGTTCCACACAATACAGAAAGAAGAGTCTCGAATAAATGGTGTGGGGAAAACTGAAAGGCCACACATAAGAGAATGAAGCTGTACTATTGTCTAGCTCCATACACAACAATAAATTTCAAATGGATTAAAGTTTAGATGTTAAGACCAGCAACAATAAAATACATAGGAGAAAACAATGGTGTTTTCTTTCATGACTTCAAGAGAGAAGTTTCTGGAGACTCAGGTCCTACAGCAAGTGAAAAGCAAAAAAAATAAAATTGGAATTAGCTCAAGTGAAAAAAATTTACATAGTAGAAAAAAATTTAAAAAGATTTAAAAAGACATACTACTGAATGGAGGAAAATATTCATACTATATAGAACAAACAATGGGTTAACATCCAAGATATATAACAAACTTAGGATACACAGAAAACTTGGGAAAAATACATTGTGTCATGTTATATTACCTGTTTTTGTCATTGCTGGATTTCATTTTCATTTACTATTATTTTACTTCTACTTTTTATTGCTACAACCCACTAAGACTTACCAGTAATTTGTCCTTATCATGTATTCTGGAACAAAAATTTTTCATTTCCTCAATACAAGTATTATTTTTCCTACAATTTATTCATTCTATTTCAATTTTCAAATGTTCAGCTTATTTTCATAACACTATTCTATCTTTTGTGTTTTATTGTCAGTGTACACAAGGCAACTTTTCCATTCAAAAGTGCTTTATCTGTGCCTCTCAATTGTCTTGCTCCATCTTACCTGAGGTTTCCTTATTATCTTTGGGAAGCACAGACATCTAGCAGTTTTATTCAACTCTTTCAGATACGCTATCAAATTTCATTAATTTTTGTTATAATTTGTGTTACTTTTTCCCTAAAAATATGGAAAGACATATTTTCTAAGAACGTTTTCACCTACCATCAGATTTCAATTTATAATAGCAATGCTTGAATAATCTGGATATCCAAATACACATTCATTTGCATGAAAAAACCTGTGGCTGACTAGCTCTGGGCACTTTAGTCGATTTCATTATGTCTACTCAATTCCATCTGGAAAGTCAGATGAAAAAGGGAAATGAAGTGCAGTTGTGAAGTAAAGGAATTTCAATAATAAGTAGATGCAAATTACATTGAAGAGGATAGTGTATAATATTTGAAAGGTTCAGGAAAGAAAGAGCATGGACTTTGAAATCACATATATTATCTGGAATGTCCTCTGTCCATTGATTTTAGGCAAGTGCTTGACATATAATAAGAGCTCAAAAAATGGCAACTATAATTATCAGAGCCAATAATAAATTGGTTTTGAAAAAGTGTGGAAAACTAGCATAAAATGAGAGATATTGCATTTGTTCATCATGTGTCTTGCTTTCAGAGTGGGGCACTTATCTGTTGTTAAAGATTCAAGAAACTAATGACTTCACGTATGTACTGTTTTCTTGTCCTGATGATATCAAAAGCATACTTAAACTTTGGGAATGTCTGTAGAGAATGAAAAAGTGGAAAGATGTAAAACAACAGAGAAAGAAATTAATAAAATTAGATGAAATGAGTTAAAGAGCAATAGATTCCTAATGAGAATCCTTTCTAGCTATGAGTAAACACACACTCCACTGTCCTTAGCATACAAAAGTTAATTAATGTAGTAGAAGCGATCTGTTTTGGACAGGGTTTAACAAGAAAGTTTATTGTAGAATAGCAATATCTATAAATGGTCTGTAGAAAATGGTCCATTCCCATATATGCTGAGGAAACCACTTGCTATAGACAGAATGTTTGCATTCGGACCTAATCTCTAACATGCTGGTATTTGGGGTCTTTGGGGTGAAGACTGAGGGAAGCTGCTTTAAGAATGAGATGGGGCCGGGAGGGGAGGGATTGGGGTCAGAATGGGGCATGTGCAGTTGTATGGGGGAATATAAAAATAATATTTATTATTTAATTAAAAAAAAAAGAATGAGATTGGTGACATTACAAAAGTGACTCCAGACAGCTCCACTGTCCTTTCCTGCATGTGCGGAACTGGCAAGTTGACAGTCACTGAGCAGCCAGGAAGCAGGTCTTCAACACACACCACCACCCCTGCCTTGATTCAGGACATCCCATCCCCCAGACCTGTGAGTAATAAGTTTCTGTTGATTATAAGTCACCCGGTCCACTATGTCTTATTACAAGTAGTCTGAAAGGTAAGACAACATCCTTGTCTGAGAATTACGTTAAATATTGGCATATTATCTAAAAACATACTACAATTTTAAATCCTTTTACCTTTATCTCCATATTTCATGGCTGGTAGACCATAGTGTTGTTGCTTTTTAGACATAGCACTTTCTTTAACAACCCTTGTTGGGCTGAAACAGGAGACAAATAAAATGGCTATAATATAAAAATCACATGGGATAATATTCATTAATGACAAAGCAAACTATATTCAAATCCCCCATCAATAATAACACTAGCCTTGATGAAATGTATTCATTCAGTAACATCTGGAAGATTATATTATGTATCTGTATCACCTACAATTTACATAATACACTTTCTGAAATAAATTCACTAACTTCATACACGCGAGGGAAAGAAGCTGGTTTTAAGGCATGTAAATAACAATACGTAGAACACAGAAGCAAAACCTGAAGGATATAGTGCCTGGCTGGCTTGATTAAACCATTTAGAGTTCCCCAGCACAAAAAGACGAGGGCATCCCTCTCTTAAAGCACCTTGAAAAACGTCTGTCCCATAAAGTATATATAAGAAATAGATACTGGAACTTCACATCATGGCTTTTCATATATATTTTTTTAAAACAATCAAATTATATTTCAAAAATTTACATCCATATCGAAAAGAACCAAGTCAGAGACAGAATTGAAGATCAGATTTGGAATCGCTATAAAATGGCATCCAGGAAGCCCCCAGTGTCCTAACAACAGCGGGGCCGCCACAACGCACAGCGCAACCCGAAGGAAGGGGACAGGCCAGGGCACTGCGTGGACGGGGGGGGTGGGTGGGGGCTATCACCAACTCACGGCCGAGCGGGCCACAGCCTTTGCTGCCCGGTCTAGCGCCAACTCGCCAATAAACGCGCAACACCCGCGGGCTCGCTCTAGCCAACAACCGCGCAGCGCCGCGTGAAGTAAAAGTTTATGAAAATTTTGGGGTTAGATTCTGTCTCCTCAAAGCTGCACTTGAGCCAGGCATGGACACATTCTTAAGGCCTGAACTTTTGGATTCCTCCTTAAATTGAATTCCAATTCGGGAGCTGTCCACACACTTGAAGTGAGGATCCTTCCACATGACCACAGGGGATGGGGGTAGTCATCCGATAACAGTAAGGTCCAAGGAAGCCGCAACTGTGGGGCCCTACCTGACTGTTAGGTCCCTCCGTGACTACAGCCACATGCTGGCAACATCCAACTGGCCACAAGGTTCAGGAGCTCTAGGACTCCACGTAATAAAAGAAATGTGCCACGTGAAACAAAAGCCTGGAGCCTAGCAACCTAAGACAGCATGTCACATGACCATGGGATCTGCATAGCTGCCGGTGATTGGTTGATTCTGGTGCTCACGTGACTGCAAAAGCTCATCCTGCTACGTGTCAGCACCATGTGGGCTGATGCATGCCAGTGCTCTTGCATAGCCCTCTGTCTTCATGGGTTGAAGATGGCTGAGTCTGACCAGTGGCCACAGGGGATGTGCTAACACAGCGTCCATGGGACCCTCACAGCAGGTCACTTGTGTGAGAGTGAAGTTTTCACAAGCCACGAGTTCCTAAGCATCACATGACAGAAAGAACCCGCCCACCATGAGCTGGCTTTCGGACCAACTCCCTGTTGGTCTAGTGTCCTAAGGACCCGGATCTACCACCTAAACATGGCAGCCATAGGTCAGGGGAGATTGTGTGAGCTCAGACTTTAGGAGCCCACGATGCAGACCTGACCAGTAGTAGGTCTGAGCCTGCTGGTAGACTGTAGTGTCCACATGATGGCCGCGTCCCCTTGACCACCACCCACCTTAGGAACCCACCCAGCATGCTCACAGCTTGGTCACTGTGAGACTGTAGGCTGCAACGACAGTCGCATCAGGCCAATCTGCATGTTTCATTAGATCTTTCTCTCTAAAGACCTGGAGATCTGAGAGCGCTCATATTCCTGGGCTCTGCAGAGATCGTGGTGTTTGCAAGTGAACTTACTCTAAACACAAGTCAGGATTACCTGCTCGGATCACTTCTTTGTGTACTAATTTTATGAGTCTTGTATTTTTATATAACACATGCAAATTAATACATACAAATTAACACATACCAGTTAATTAGGTTCTCCCTTTAGCCCTAATAATTGCCATATTAGGGACTACTTCATAAGCATGCTAGTGGGTATAGTTTAAGTTTTGTTGATTTGATATAATTAGGCTAAGTGAAATCGAAGCAAACCTAAAAAGCGATTTTTTTGTGTGTTCATCTTAAAATGGTGTGTCTAATGATTATTATGTGTTAAGCACTTTAAAATCTTAACTCATGTAATAGTGACAACTCTATGGAGTAGATATTATTATTCCATTTATAGAAAATAGAAAGTTGAAGCACAAAAGTGTTAAGCCACTTGCCTAAGAGGCTACAGAGCCCATAGATGGTGAGCCAGGTCTTACCTCCATAAGTTATGGTTTCAAAGTGTATTCTGATCAGCCAGGATGTTCTCCAAAGGGAATTAATATTAATTCAGTGTTACTACTTGAGATTAACTGGAAAAGTTGTCCTCTGTTACTGAAAAGTTCGATCATGGAGGACCTCTCTGAAATGCCATTTCAAGTACTTTCTGGTATCAGAAGCAATTAAAGTTGAAGCTACAATGTTGAATGTAATTAAGATTAACAGATTCATTTAATGTATAAATACATATTTATTTTTTTAAAGATTTATTTATTTATTTTTATACAAGAACCGAGGTACAGGCCAGATGTGCAGGAGGGTGAGAGAATTCACCAGAGACAGAGCGGGGAACATACAGGCAGACTGACGAAATACACTGCTGAGGGAAGCAGCGGGCAAGTCAGGAAAGGTCTGCTGCATGATGTGGGACCCTCGCTGGCCGGCCGGGATCAAACCGGCGCTGCAGAGGCTGTGGACAGCTTCACAGCGTGGCGCTCAACCGCCTGTGCTACCAGGGGAGGCCCTAAATTTATTTTTTAAAAAAGATTTATTTATGCATACAAGAACTGGGGTACAGAGGTGTGGGGGGTGAGAGGATTCACCAGAGACAGAGTGGGGAACAGAACAGGCAGACTGACTGAAATACACTGTTGAGGTGAGCAGTGGGCAAGACAGGAGAGGGTCTGCTGCGCCATGTGGGTCTCCTCCCTGGCTGGGGATGGAACTCATGCTGCAGTGGCTGCAGATAGCTTCATAGGTTGTGTCTTAACCCTTTGTGTCATATGGGAGGCCCCTAAATTTAAATTTATTAATACATGAAATTTTATTGCAACTAAAAGATGGTATTGCAGAAGTTTGAACATCATACCTGACTCTTGATCTAACTCCAAAAATTAAAAATGAGTGGAGTGTAAATTCAATATTATTGCATTTATACCGTGCCTTCCTAGAAAGACAGAGAAAGGGTAAGACCAGCAAACAATGAAGTTTTATTATATTAGTATTTTAAACACTTCTTTTGCTCATTGAGGAGCAAACCAAAGCTTTGTTTGCATATCCAAAATAAATTTGATTTGGTCTTTCATATTTTCTGGCCAAGGTTAAGTCAATGCTATGCAAAATGTAGTATTATTTTGCTCTGCCCTGTGATACAACATGGCTACATAAATAAACTGAAAAAATTTAACAGGCCAAATTTTGCACCATGGTTAAATTTGAATAAACTTAGGGAGGGGAGATCATGTGTTTGTGGTTCTAAAATTATCGAAAGATATCATGGTATTTTGGATGCCGTATTTCTGCAAGTTGGTGACTTTATGTAACTTTGGAAATTATTTGTCAAACAAATATAAATGCAGGTACAAAAATGGAAGCACATAATTAAGTGCAGACTTTGATGAAACTCCAGTTGGATTCAAAAAGTTACATACAGTAAAGAGGATGGAACTTGGCATCAAGAGCTGATGTTTTTTTCTAGTGTAGTTCAGTAATCAATCACCTACAAGTAGTCAGATCCACATTCTGAGACACAGCACAATGACACCTAGCCCAACTATACTCAGTGGAGACTTACATAGATTGAGGGTGAAGGAGGACTTCTGTTTCCAAAAGACAATCCTTGGAGTTCTAATTATTAACCTGCCTTCAGAGGATTCAGATATTTTTGCTGTCACAACTGATAGTTATATTGTTTTTTTTTTTCATTCTCTTGAGATTATTATCAGGAGATTTATAGGATTAAAAAATAGTTATATCTATAAGGGTCTGTCAGCACTCTCAAAATTAGAGTGGAGGAGTTTAGCCTATGGATGAACATGTGTATGAATGCAGCATGTACATATTAGGCAGTTTCGACTCTGCAGTTCTGTAGGTGAGGCAGGTTGGTAAGCTGTTTTGCTTGAATGCTATTTGGCATTATGTATGGAGCACCAAGAACTTCTTTTATTTTTCTGTGTTGTGGTGGGCATTTTAAAGGCCAGAGCTATTGGCTTTGGAGCAGTGGCATTCTCCTAACACAGAGACATGGGGAAGGGGAATAAACAGACGTGATCCTGTGAAACATAAATACTGAAATACACAGCAATATATAACTGAATTAGATGTTCTAGGTAAATTTACCCTCAGAAATTAAAATTGACTTACCTAATAACTTTATACAAGGGAATGAATCAGCTATGGCTGTGTCTTTTTACATAGTATAATGAAACATGTTTATCTTTGTTCTTTGAGAAATTACTACTAGCAACCATACTGTCAGTGTCAAGCAATGAGAAAGAAGAAAATCAGTTGCAGATTGAGTTCAGAGTCAATATGCTTCAAAATGTTTCCCTGTGCCCCACATGATGTAAAATTTAACCTCTGTAGATAATGAGCCCATGCATGGTAACTGCCAACACAAG